AGGGCGAAAAGAATTGCTGCAAAGACGGCCGCTCTAGGCCTTTGGAGACATCGTGGGAACTCCTTCCGGTACTATACAAACTGCTGACGTGGCCGTGGACATGTACATGGAGAGTCATGGTGGGACTTCATGTACATGGATACATGGTGGGAATTCCTTCCGGCACCCCCGTACCACAAAGCCAACGGTGGGGAAGGAGAAGTGCAGACGTGCAGGGAAACGAACGAGGAGGAACCAGGGCGAGCGAGCAATGGCAGGACTAGCTGGACCGTAAGTAATAGCTGAATTGTGCATGACAACTTGACATCCATGCGGCACTCGCCACTTGCCACTGCATATTTCTTGTCCACTAACAATGTCTCTCCTCTGCCCCCTGTGTGTCCACGGCCCTGTTGCTGAATTGGCCCGATGAATCGAATGTCTTCCGCAACTGGAACTGCCCAGTGAACGCTGTCGCGTCGGCGACTGAATGCGCAGGAGGGAAAATATTGCTGCGAAGACGTCTCCTCTAGACGACGGTAAGGCACCCCATTGATATGTTGCCAGTGTGTGCCAGGGTATCGCGCGATGGTGAATGAGGAATGATGAAGGGTACGGTGGGACTGTAGACCTGTTACCTTCTACTAACACGTTATCAGGTGGAGACTGTCTTGTACTCACGTTATCAGGTCGAGAGCGTATTGTAGTCACTCTCTCTATTCCTGTACTTCATTACGTTTAAGGTGTACGTATAACTTCTCAAAAAAAATTAATGGTTCACAGTCGTGTCGGAAGGGTACGGTGGGACTGTAGACATGTTACCTTCTAACACGTTATCAGGTGGAGAGTGTCTTGTACTCACGTTATCACTATATCAGGTCGAGAGCGTATTGTAGTCACTCTCTCTATTCCTGTACTTCATTACGTTTCAGGTGTACGTATAACTTTTCCAAAAAAATTAATGGTTCACGTCTTCAGATAGAGAGCGTATTGCACCCACTGTCTAGTCTCTGTAGTGCATTGAGATTTTGCGTATCGAACATGAAATGGATACACAGACAAAGCCAGGCCAAGTACATGGCGAGATGTCGCCAGAAGAACGTCTTCAGGTAGAGAGCGTATTGCACCCACTGTCTAGTCGATTTTGTGGATCGCACATGAAATGGATACACAGACAAAGCAGGCCAAGTACATGAGAGAGTGGACGATGTGCAGATCGACACGGCCTGCGGGTACTTCATTAAAGTTACCCGTGACATAACTAGGATAAAAGTTAATCACTGCAAAAACATTGCCAAGTATGTGAGCACTTTGGACTTGACAGAAGAGTGCACGGGCGACGTTGACAAAACATACTGCCGTGACTGTCACTATCATGACAGCAGGGCACATCGCACGCAGCATCGCAGATCGTGTCGAATTGCGCATCATAATATTGCAAAATTGCTCCTGTGCATGCAAGTGGATTTCATTGCACTTCTCAGTTTGGGAAATGCTCGATTATGACAATTCTCCGTGTGAGTGCACTAGCCCTGAACAGACATGTAGGTGAACCGTTTGTGGTGTCTCATAGCCTACCTCACGACCTTCTGCTTTCTTTCTTCATCACTTGTATCTCGCAGGTATATCATTCCGTGACGACCACATTGAAGTCTGAATTTGAAGTGTGAAGATGCTTCAGCAACCACATCGTACTTTTCCATTGCTTTCATTGTGCTTCTACTGTGCATGTGTGTAGCTTGTGGGGTAAACATGTGATGACATTGTATGCTGGCGACACGGTCAGATGTTCATGCGTCTAACGTACACCTGCATGTTATGCATTGAAAAGGGTTTGCCACTTGCGATCCTGGGACGAGTATCAGGTCCGCTTTGTCCTGTGTGGGCTGTATCAGATTGCTGTTCACTTCTCTATCTGTTGGATATGTGACTTTCTGCAAGTTTCTGGTGTATGATGGCCACGTCCTTGCTTGTCACTTTGTATGATATTACATTCTGTATTCGCTGCTTCCATGGCATGGTCTGCAAACTGCAATCCGTGGGCAAATGTCATGTTTGCTATGTTGTGCTTTGGCCGTCAGCTTGTCTACACGCTGTAGTTGAATTATTTTTGTTTCACAACTGACTTCCTCAAGTACGGTGGCCACTGCTTTGCATGGCATTATACATGAAGAATTTCCTGTTTGTGTCGTGTGCATGTGCGTATGTGTGCGTGGCCACGTGTGTGTGCCGTGTGCATACACATGTTTGTGTATCTGTGTGCGGGGTAGCGAGGCGGGAGGGGCTGGTATGTATCAGTGTGTTATTGCAGTCGCATGGCTACATACAGTACATCGCGCGCGTGGTCATCATGTTTACCTTCGGGGTTGGGCTGGGGAGGGAACGGAAAAAGAGCTGAAATTATCCATATAAAAATCGCTCTGTGAGCGGTTCTGAAAAACCTTTACTGGTACTGCCCCGTCGTGAAAGTAAGAAATTAGAACTGGCCCATTGTCCCCCCAAATGCGAACTGATCCACCTAAATCGCGAATGACGGGACCCGAACGCACCAGTAGCACGAGGTTCCTATCTGTGGATGCAGATGGGGACGTCGTTGGTCCGGACCATAGGCCATGTACTGTACTAGCGGTAGGCTTCCCTATCAAAATAATAGATTCTACTGCTACTACTGGTGTTACCCTATGATAATTGCCGTGATCCTGTGCCCTCCCGACCTCGTGCTACTGGTGCGTTCGGGTCCCGTCATTCGCGATTTAGGTGGATCAGTTCGCATTTGGGGGGACAATGGGCCAGTTCTAATTTCTTACTTTTACGACGGGGCAGTACCAGTAAAGGTTTTTCAGAACCGCTCACAGAGCGATTTTTATATGGATAATGCTACTAGTAATTCATTTTTTGCCCATACTGGGCCATAGTCTAGAATACACACAAAAAAACGTGACAGGCTTTGCAGAGACTGCGAAAACTTACCGTAAAAAGTTAGTGCTAGATAGACCCACATCATGTGCTACAATAGTAGTGTAGGGATGATTATCAGAGGCCTCAGCCTCAGCCCTCGAGCCCAATGCAATGATTATGTATACTTAGTTTGCAGAGGTCCTGTGTGATATTAGCTTCAACATGTTCAAGGCTATCTGCAATGGCTGAGGTCATTGGCCGTCCGTAAATATCGAACTTTTTTCACCAAACGAATTATTTTAGTTTAGACCCAACCCCTCCCTCCCTCCCCCTCAGAACGTAAAAATTGTTGACATATACATGCATATACAACAAAAGTCGCAAGTGTGTCACTGCTCCTATGGCCATTTACATGTATCGAAGTTTTCTGAAACGAAATTGCCTCAACCCCCTCCCACCCCATAACGAAATTATTTCGTTTCGTGAAAAAAGTTCGATAATTATGGACGACCCCTAAGTCATAATAATATTGAACGGAATGTACGAGCACAGTCATGTAGATCTACATGACTGTAAGTCTTTGCACTGGTAGTGGCAGGAAGTACTAGTCCTCGGTAGTATCAGAGACACCTCAAATGGTTCTTTACAATCTGTATCACAATTAGTGGGTTCAGCAAAAAAAGGATATATCAGAGACACCGTACGAACCACCCGCATAACATCTCCTTTGCAGAGTAGCATGCAGCAGCAGCAGCACCAACACAGCATACACATCCCGCAACGCACCGCCATTCCTCAAGAGCACACGTGCAACATGTTGACAGCGTTTCCGTTTGTGTGTGTATACGGTTCCCTTTTATCATTATGTGGATCAAGAAAACAGCTGCAGAAACGTGCACAACTTGGCACGACGCAGCAAGGAAAGATGTGATCAGCAAAGCTACAGAAATGGAAATTCCTCGTCGATGCTGTGTTAACTCCTTAAAGCGGAAAAGCAGCAGATTCAGAGTCCGTGGTCCTTGTTATATGACCACCCAGTGCCTTTGACATGTAACAAAGCAGACGCCCGACCCCCGCTGCCTAAAATAAATACTGGACAAGAGAAGGGAGAAAGAAAGGAAGGAAGACGTGTCCACCTCAAGACAAAGTAGCGCAGTGCCAGCTTAGTGGAAGCGAAGAGCGAAAGGAGAACTGAAAAAGAGAAGAAAAGTTTTCGATCACATCCAGTGATTTGAACAAGGGCCAGCAAACTGCATGCCCTGTATTATGTAGAAAGCAGAATGCACCAAGCTGTTGGATGGAATACATGAGAAATGAAGAGGCCGTTAATATGCCAAGAGCACGCTGTGCTTTCATGGGTCTATGCAACGCTACCTAGACTATCGGCAGGTGAATGCGGAAAGAAAGAAGATCACTGGCATGAGAGAACAGACTAGTGCAAGCAGTAACAACATAACTGGTGCTCGGTGCAACTTGATGGAGCAGACCAGCTTCAGGCTGGACCTGAACACCACCACTACCAACCAACAATCGAGTGAGTTACGCGAGTGTGATACGCGAGTATGATAAACTACAAACGGTGTTCTCTACTGCACGAACAAAACAAAGTTGAAGTCGCAGGCTTTATACGAAAAACAAGCCTGCGAACACATCCAACTTGATGTACACAGAATACGCAAAGCTTCAAGGGTTCCTCCGTAGAAGAAGAGGAAGCACCTTGCACAAGACGACCAACGTTATCATCAGCACACTTTATCCACGCCGCAAGTAAGCCGTAGGCTTCGCCGGTCTACTGCTCGTCAAGGATGGTGGTGCGCACCATTGCCTCAGTGACTTGGTACGGGTCGCAGTTACTGGACGGACGTCGGTCCTCCAGGTAGCCACACTTATCCGCGGCTATGTGACGTGGAATACGGATACTCGCGCCACGATGGGCAACGCCGGACGAGAAGGTGTGGATATCCGACGTCTCGTGGCGGCCTGTCAGTCGTCGCTCGTTGTCCTTCCCTCCGCGCGGGTCGTACATGGAGATGTGATACGGGTGACGCTTTCTCAGCTTCTCAATGGCACTCTCTATGTGATTGATGCCGCCGGCTTCACGCATCTCCGCCGTGCTGTGTATGCGTGCACGTGAAGCAACAAACACACACACACACACACACACGCACACAAGTACACCATGCCAAGGCACACAGATTGCACCACAAAGACACACGCACAGACAGGTACACCACACACGTACAGCGCAAAAGGCACACAGAAGTACACATGATCACAAAGGCCAACACTCCCCACTGACCCAGTGTAGTAGACGGACTTTCCCCTACACAAATCACTATGTATTACTATGTATTGCACTATGCATTGCTGACACCATCAGATCCCTTGCTTTCATTCGCTAGCTAGCGCTCGGAGCTGTAACTGGCAATCTCGTACCATATATAGATCCGTGTGTCAGTTGCCCAGCTCAGTTGTTGCAGAGTCTTTTGCCTCCGTTGTTTCTGTCGTCTTCCCTTCACTTATTGAGTCTTTCAATATACTATAAGTAATTCTGTGCCACCTACGTTTGTCTTTTCGTGCAATATTGTTCCCTGAGAATACTACCTGTGTTTTGCCGGAGAGACTGAACCAGTTTTGCCTTGTCACTCGGTCGCGTACTACATTTGGTGGCAGCGGTGTTAGCTCTGCGTTCGTCAGTCGCAGTATTCCGGACCACGCCTCGTTATTTCGCCGTGCAGTGAACGTTGCCGTTGCCGTTCTCGTCTCAACTCAAGCTGAGTAACTTTGTTCCGTGCCAATTTACGATTTTAATATTTACATTTTTGTAGTGCTAGTATTTTCTAGGCTTACTTTGTTGGATCTATTCGTAGTCTTGTCCCCTAAGTAAGCTAGCTCTTCGTTGCCAGTTTTTCTTGCACTGCTCGCCGTACTTGAACTGTTGCTATAGCGTAGGCTTAGTCCTCAAACGCGTCCCGTGTTGCTTGCGAAGTCCTATAGGCCTACTTGTTTGTTTGTTATCCTTATATACACGACACCGAAAATGGCACAGAATCCTCAAGCTGCTGCTGCCGCTGCCGCTGCTGCTCCCGCTGCACCAGCTCTGGCTCCGGGTCAGGTTCCGGCTCCTCGACAGGCACCACTTGCTCGGCCGGTAGTTGTACCGCCGACGTTTGGGGGTGCCAGCCAAGACGATTGGCACTGCTTCATCGCCAGGTTCGCCGCAGCGTGCGTGGTAAATGGGTACCGGGATGCGGAAAGGCTGCAGTTTTTACCTTGTTGTTTCAAGGAGAGTGCTTTTACAACTTACCAGACCATTCTGGCGGCGCACCCGCAGTATACGTATGTAGAAATGTGCACCGAATTAGGGCTACGGTTCGAACCGCCACAGCAAAGTCGCCTCCTTGAGGCCGAGTTTCGAGCTCGCCTGAAACGATCAACTGAGTCCCAGGCCGAGTTCGCCGCAGCTCTTCAGCGCCTTGCGGCACGCGCCTTTCCAGGTCAACAGGGTCCGCTGTTAGATCGCCTGACGCTCAATCAATTTATTGACGGCCAGGTCAATAGTGACCTGCGCCTGCACATCAGGACATCCAGCCCTGCAGCCCTCGATGCCGCCGTTCGACGGGCGTACAAAGTTGCAGCGATCTTAGAGGTCGAGAATCGCCGCAGTCTTCCGGTTCCTACACCAGCCTGCGCTGCCCTGACCGCCTCTATGCCTCAGGCACACTCCGTAGGTCCACTCGCGGATCCGACTCCAACGTCCAGTGCCACCGTGGCCCTCGCGTACTACACCCAGCAACACTTGGCAGTGGCTGTTAACCAGGACGAAGTCTCACGCCGTGGTGATCCTGACAGCACTGGAAGTTTAGTGCTAGTGAACACGTGTCCTTAGCTGCATATTCCATGTACATGATGATATTCCATGTACATGATGATCCAGATGCAGTGTTATCTTCTTTTAATATTGCCCCCCCCCCCCATCCCCATCCCCCTCCCCTCCCATACAGTGGACAGCTGCTCATCACGTGGATAACTACCCCCCCCCCTCCCTCCATACTCAAGTACTTCCTCCGCGTCATCGAAACTGTCGCAGTTTGACTATCGATATAAAACGGGGTATTTTCTCACCAGCAGTCATACCACGGGTTAGGAATCGGACTTAGGCGATAGCCATCAGTATAGGGTGACGGCAAAGTTCTATTTTCTGTTATTAGAAGCTGAAATTTTTGAACTACAAGTACACTTTTTGTAGACACAATTGCTTAGCTGATGTCGCTGTGACGGTACTTTCAACTAGCTGAGATCAGTCAGGCGTTACCGTCTGCACATTTCTCATGTTTATAGCCATTCGCTCAAACGCTCATCACTGGTTTACCCGAGATGGGGTGAGAATGACATCGTGGAACAAGCGGCAGCGCTTGGAGAAACATTGAGGGGCCTGCAAACTTGCATGCATGCAAGAGCGATACAATTTATCACTCTTATGCAAGTTTTTTTGCTGAGACACCTTGTACCTGGAAGAGCCGCATCCGTGCAGTGCTAACGTTAGTGATGCACGCACAGGTACCGTACCAGTGATGCTGAAAAAGAGGGCGCGGTCGATGATAGTACACTTACCTGCATGAGCTGTGACCACACAGCAAAAGTGAATGGGCATGTCACGGCTAAAAAAAGTTCATTTTAGCATCGAGGTGATTTCGCAGCCAGCGTAATCAACCGACCTCGCAACGATCGTGTATTCTTTGCCAACGTACTCGTACTGAGTTGGCGGTGAAGTTGAAATCATCCACGTAGCATAGCAGCTCCTGTCCTGTGGAGAAATTCAAAGCGTTTGAGATGAGGCACGACCAATTATTTACAACCTTCCTGGAAAATTTGCGGAACGATTATTGTTTCGTTTATTGACATCAACGGCGACGAGGCATTCATCTCCGCGTGCAACTCTCAGTCCAACTGTCTTGAAACGTTACTCTAGACTTCAGGCTATCATCTTGTGTCATGATTGTCGTATGGTGTAGCTTATGTTACTGTCAGTAACCAGTGACAATTCACTAGTCAAACTGCGACAATTTCGAAGTACAATAATTTGATGATGCCATCTTCATTCCGTCCGCCCATTCATACTAGCAATAAGTGCAACGCTGGATTACTACAATATGTAAGAAAAAGAAAATGTGACCATCAACCATCCTGCTCTCCCCCCCCCCCCCCGACTTCAAGAGTCCACTAGAAGTCTCCATTTGCAGGACATACCACGGACCGGCAAAGGTCGACATGCCTAACACTTCGTACTGTGTCTGCACACAAAAGAACACTCACTTTCGCACAAGAACTTGCCTACCCCAGGATAAAAAAACGTACAATGTCTGTGTCCTCCGTAATCTCTTTATGTCAACTAAGAACGTGACAAGCGGATGGCTAAAGGAAATCTGTCCAGGAGGCAACGCATACTCTGTCATGGCAGCCTCGTGATTTGTCAGATGCCATTGCCTTCAAGTTCACACTTTGAGGCTGCACGTGGATTTGGGAGCCAAGGAGAAGCATGGTGGATGCCTACACAATGACGTTCTCTTTGTTCTATGACCTCTGGTGAACAGCACAGCTGTCATGGGCTAGGTGTGCAGAGCATTACACAGGATTCCTGACGCACGATGCTTGCACATGCCAGTGCAGCAGCAGCTCATCTGCCGGCCAGAACACACGTACATGACTTATTGTACTCTCACACTAGAGTGTTCAAAAAGACACATGTGCGTAAGTACCTCGACACCAAAGCAGATCTGAACTATTTCTTTGTCCACAGAACTGCTCAACACAATCCGTCTCTTTGCAAGTTTGTCCCTCTAAGTCTAACAATCGCAACTAACTTGATTTTTCACAACTCCCCAGCAACAAGGCCATGCCCTGCTGCAGGTCGAATAAATATTGCGCACCTGTATCATACATGACCGTCCGACATCTACTTCCTGCACTGACGGTTTAGCACGCTCTGCGCTAGCCCATTCAAAAGTGCAAGACCGATACAGGCAACACGTGGTCGACGGGAAATGGGTCAAAGAAAATAATTCCAGCTCCGGACAACGTGGACTGCACCAGTCACTCACCTGTAGTTGCAATGAGCACCAGCGCCATTCCAATCTCCGCTCATCGGCTTCGGGTCCAGACTGACGACGACATTGAACTCTTCAGCTACTCGATACAGAAGGAAACGGGCCATCCATAAGTGGTCGCCCATATCTATTCCTTCTGAGGGTCCGACCTGGAACTCCCACTGTGCAACAAGAGCACACAAACCTTGTGTTTACTACGAATCATGAATCCATTATACTACTTTACTAGTAGCCATTCATAGACATAGGCGAGGGTGATTTCAACATGAGAAAACACGGGAGAATACAACTACATGTATAACGTTATACCTCAGAACCATGCATGTCCGGAAAGAGCAAAGGAAACAAATAATTTTTTTCCCAAATCGAACAGGACAAGCGGAACAAGCCGAGGCAACGGCGCGGGCAGTACTTACCTGGGCAGGCATTACTTCTGCGTTGGTTCCAGCAATCTTTACGCCAGCGTAGAGACATGCACGGTAGTGGGCCTCGACCACTTCTCTTCCGAAAGTCCGCGCCGCACCGACACCACAGTAATAGGGACCTTGTGGACCAGGGAATCCACCCTTTGGCCATCCCAAGACGGAGCCATCAGTGTCAAATAAAGTATACTCCTGTTCGATACCAAACCATGGGTGAGCGTCTCTAACTTTCGGCTTAGTCATAGCATCTAGGCATGCCACGCGATGGTTAGTTGCATTGGGAGTCATATCAAAGTTGTACGTATCGCAGAGCAATAATTTGTTATTGCCGCCACGGAACGGATCCCGGAATAACGCAGCGGGTCTGAGATAAACATCGCTATTACGGCCTTCGCTCTGACCTGTTGAGGAGCCATCGAACGTCCATTCGGGGCAATCTGACGGCTTCTCTGGTTCTTTTTCGAGCGTTCTGGTCTTGCAGCGCATCGTTTCATCGCTACCGTCTATCCATACGTACATAACCTGCACTCGACCGCCCTGATCGAGGGTAAGGAAGCGATCCATGTTCACGCTACGTAGGTGAGCCATTTTGAT